GCTAAAAATAAATATTTAGACTTCATATTAATTGATTTTTTTTTTCTTATATTAAATATACGATATTTGGATTCTACCAATTTACCAGAATTTATCATTTACAGTAAATGAATTGGTGATTAAACAATTGATAATTGAATGGTAATTTTTTTTTTAAAAAAAAAAAGTTTGTTTCAAATGACGAATTTACGGTAAGCTGCGGAACATCTGTAAAAAGATTTGATTCTTCTTTTTCAAACAAACCCTTTTGCTTCTTTTTGTAATTACAATATTAAAATACTATTATTATAATTATTATTGTTATTATGAAACTCATTTTTTTACCGTATAACCTTTATTTAAAAAGTAAATATTGATTATATATTATATATTTAATATTAAAATATGAAATACATGTATGAGTATCTACAATTCAAAGAATATAATTTATAATTTATATGTTAAAAAAATTAATTAATCTAATTGTAACACAAGTGATATATATTTTTGTTATACATGTACAGTAGATATATTTTTAAAATAAGTAATAATAAGTTAATTTTCAATTGTATTATTTATTATTAATCAAAATTCAGATAATAAAATATATTAGATAAATAAAATTATATTTATTTTATTAAAACTTAATTTATCATTTAATGACAAATCTATTATTTCATATCTATTCAAATTATTTTGAAATCTTTTTAATTCTTAGATTTAGATTCAAAACTTGATCAGTTTTTATTATGATATTACATTTATGTTTTCATGTTAGCTTTTTAAAGTTCTTTTGAAATATTGAATTTTTTTTTTTTTTAATACTTTTTTTTGGATTTTATATATATTTTTTATAAGTTTTTATATAAAAGTTTTTAGAATACTAAAAAAAAAAATTAAACTGCTAAATTATTAATTTGCTTGGCACAGCCTGAATAGAATGGAATAATCGACAAAGCTCTACAGCCATTGATTTTCTATTTTCACTAATTCGAAAATAAAAATAAAAATAAAAATAAAAAAAATCAACTGAATTGATTAGTAATAATCAACAAGACTAGCATGATCTTTTAATTGTCAATATTCCGATGTATTGTGATATTGTTTATTTATCATAATTCGCATAATAGAAAACATATGGGACCTATATTTATCTGTATATACCATCCATCTATGGATAAGCATATTCAATTTTTATCACGAGAGATGTCATGTTGCGGACCGTGCTGAATACGCTGAGTGTTTATTTTTTATGACAACGGATAATGGATTATGCGTGCGTAGACCATATCGGTACGTACATCTCGAGTCTTTACCAAATATAGAATACACATTCATACGGAGGTATAACGCGTTCAGACTAATTCCGGAATATTAAGAGGATTCCCGATTGCTAAAAAAGAAATGGTTGACACCGAACTCGTAGGGAACTCACTGATGTCTCACTATATGAGAGAACAAGGTTTTTGCGTTTTATGTAGCGATCAACGAGCCTCATCATGATGTAATTAATGAAATTATTAATAAGCCGTCTCATTTTATCAATGTACGCGAGGAACATTAAGAGAAAGGATTTTCGTTGCGTGTCAAAATCAAGACTCGGATATTCGCGTTTGAAGATCCAAAAATGAATTTCTAAAACGTGACCCAAAGTTTCAAGGAGGAGTTTCATCAAAGAAGAGAACCGTGAGCGATAAACAGACGCACACATGCGATTTTAATGATCGATTTATCTCTCAAATTCAGAATCAGCGACACACACAGGACCGTCATCACCGATCCAATGATCTACTCCCAAAAGTACAATAGCGGATAGCTCGTCGTAATCAATTTCTTGATTTGTTCAGATCCCGGTGGTAGACGAATCGAGTTACTGTCTAAATTAAGAAATAGGTGAATGTGGAAGATGTGTGAGAATACTCATTTAAATAAATCGGAAAAAAAAACAAAAAAAGGTTATATGGCTAAATAAAAATTGTGCCAAGGAATGGTTTTCGGTAATCAATATGGGTTTAAATCGGTTGTAAACGTCATGCAATCGATTACAATAAGAAGAATGGATCTGATCCATTCCGAATTGGTATCACATCAAAAGATTCGTTTTATCTCTTTCATTGATTTATAACAATTTATATCACGTTGGGTGATCGTGAATTCACAGTGGAGGTGAGGTGATTACACGAAGTCATGACAGAGATTGTGATATCGCTTTGGAGAATCAAAAACGAATGCACCTCTTTTCCTAGTCACCGCGCAAACATTAGGTAATGAAGACGTCATTATCATCGGTCGTATTCAGGACCCGCAACTTAAATAGGAATTGTCAAGAGTATACGGTCAACGAAGAGCGATCTGTTACGTCAACGTCAGAGTTTGTTACACGGGCCAATCCGTTCTTTTCAAAGTACTTTTGTCATAAAGAGTATACGTATGTATATTACGTACGAAAAGATCACAAATTAATTCTGATGTCACCAAGTATCACGAAAGTTTTTTGACATTCATCCAAACTTTATAGACGAAATCAGAAGGGAAAACTTTATGGCGAAAACGGGTTTCACGATGATAAAAGAACCCGTGCATGACAATAAATTCTCCGGTTCGACAATTATCGAGAATTAAGGTTTTCACGCCCTTGATGTAATTGATTTTTTAATTTAAAACCCCACACAGGTTGTAAACAAATATGATGAAAGTATGACGTAATCAAACAGGTTGTACCAAGTGATGAGTTTGTGTAATGTCGTCTCAGAATGGTTCTCGAAAAACGGCCGTCGTCAAATGAATGAGGGTATGTCGCGTGACGCACTCACGATCCCCGGACAACGGGATGAATCGTAGAGTTGTAAATGCAGAGGGTCATACAAAGCATTCGAGTCTCACAAACGTTCGGTCTAAACTTTTTGCGGTATCACTTCATCCCATCCCTGCCTTGCAAAAAAAGATAATTCTTGAAGAATCTGGTTATTCTCCAATCCCAACTTACTTACCTAACTAACAATTTCTTTGTTCCCCCTACGGATGTGGCGGTTGTCGAATCACATGCACAACGAACAATTAATGACCAACTACGGGCATTACGTAAAAATAAAAAAAATAAAAGAGGTAACGGCCGGGTGTTACCTTAAATGGGGATTTTTCTTTCGCGGGAATTTCAATGGGGTGTTCGCGATCCCTGAGAACAGAGGAAACGACCACCGCAAAGATATAGTCAGGAATCATTGAAGATTCGGCTGTCCGCAGTCTCAGCCATTAAGAAATAAAAGAGAGTTGTGTGCTTAACCCCCCCATACGTTGATTTAATTTAGCATGTTTTTGGACACGGTAACACGTTATTGCATGTGTCACCGTCAATAAATCATGACGACAAGGATAAGAACCGGTTTTTAAAGTTTTCCTTTCTTATTTATTAATACGGAGGTTGTGGCACAGCACTTTGGCGCTTCCATATCAAATCGATGAGGTAATCATCGGGATATTTTTTTTCACGTTCGGAATTTAAAAACATATTTTAAACTTGATCCACTCAAGAAATTGAAGATCGTAGGTTACGCTACGTCCTTTATTTAATTTCCCAGAATGACAAGACGTAACCTAAATCCTAAATTCACCATGTGATACATGGATCTCTCGAACCACTTTATATACTGCGAGTAAGCGAATGCGTCGTTGAGTGACATCTGCATGAAATGTTTATTTTTTTCTGTCAACGGTTGGTTGACTCATTAAAAAAAAACTGTATGACGAAAGCTTCGACCGTTTATGGTTAAAAAAAATTATTATTATTTTTTTTTTTCCTGTATTCTTTTTCTTTTCCAGAATTTCTCGAACAGCGATGGCTGCACCAACAATATCCGAACCTGAAAACATGACACTTCTTTAAATTAAGAATTAACCCGATCATGATTATGTTGTGGGCAAGGTAGACAGTTAAGAATCACATGGCTATGCCTAACACGTCGAACAATAGGAACAATAATTTATACATTTTTTTTTTTTTGTTAATTTTTTGCCAAGTGCCTGAACGGTGGGCATAAAGGAATCGCAAGGATTCACGGCGACTAAACTTTCAGGAAACTTTCTATTGTGACTATTATTATATGGTTTCCTTTTTAACGGGTCGTGGGGCGTAACGTACATACTTTCTTTGCATTGCGTTTTTCCATCCTCAGGATCTAGCCCGGATTTTGAAAGTCATTGTGAACAATCACCATCAATTAAACACCATCAACAATGAATGGGAACTATTATAAGTAATTTGCTGCAAACAACGTACCGTTTTATTTAATTATTTCTCCTCCTGATTGCCCACCTTCCATTTTCAATCAAGCTCTCGACTCAATCAAAAAGACGATTAATTTCCTACAAGAAGATGAAAAGGATTTCTACGGGGTCAGTCAACAATCCAATTGTATTTTAGTTGGGCATAATCAATGAGATACCTTTTTGGTCTTTTGTCTCACAAGCTCGATTACACAAGCTGACTAATAATAATCGATTACAATGGGAACACGTTCACAAAACGACCAAACATTTTTCTTGTGTCGCCGCCATAGACAATGAAGAAGAAAAGAAACGTTTCCACGTTAGTTGGCGTCCGAAATTAAAATCAACATCTGATAACTTGTCCCGGTCGAGTCTGTCCGTCGTCGGCGTGATTTTCGGAGAGGTTGTTATACGCGGAAACTCTTAACCCCCCAAAAAATTGAATTGTGGCGTAGCGAAAAGCACGCTATTGTTAGATAATACAAAAGGAGGAAAAAATGTCAAATATCTCTCTAAAGGTAAATTAAAAAAAGAAAAGCCTCTTTTATTTTTCTTCCGTAAGCAATTTTCATCATCGGGTAAACAATCTGAGCATGTTTCACACGAGTTTTTTTTTTAAGGTTCAACAATAGTAATAATAGTAATTGAATGTATGAAGGTAAAAATCTGGTAAATCGCTGAAATCCTTCGAACTTGACATGAATCATATCCCCAGGGGTTGGTTAGATTATCCGACAAAAAAACCAGTACATGGAAAATGTCAAGTTCGAACCAAAGGCGTAAATTTATTGTTACGAAAGTCGGCGATAATAATTAAAGTCACTTTGTTTATGTGAACGTCATTGTTTATATTTGGATTTGGTGGGAAATTTAGAATACAAAAAAAAAAAGTGCGGGGTAAAAAGACGTATGTATGTCTTACGGAGTTTACTTTTGCTGGGAAAGGGTTGAAAATATGGTTAGACGAAGTTTTCAGGAAAGAAAAAGAGTTCCGACTACACCCGAGAAATGACTCGATCTTTATAACATTTTGATCGGTTGTAGCTAGATTCCTTCTTTATGTGCAAAGAAAATTTCCCGTGAGATGATTTACGTCAACTCACGGATTTGATTCGTCGCACATCATATTAACCCGGAATCCGCTCACGTGATTATTAGTCACGAGCTTTATGTTTTTCCAATGCAAAATGAATTTCCAAATCAGGAAGAAACCAATCAAGTAAATAAAGAGAGAAGGTTGTGCTACACTTACGTTTTGCTATTTCTTGACCACATGCTTGCTCCCTCGCAGCGTCTTGCACTCACGCATCAAATAAGGCGCATACACCCAAGGTATCTTTTGTCTTTTCTATAGGGAACCGCCTGAACAATGAACATTCGAGTGACACCATTTCCAAATTAAACTCGACATTCTAAACGCGAGTCTTACATGAAAAGCGAACCGTGATCGCGCATGCGAAAAAAATTTAAGAATTTGACTCTGCCGAGTAGTGCGTGCGCATGCAAGACATCTCACCTGCGTGGTGGTAACAAGAAGGGCATCTCAATTTTGCCGAGCGAAAAATCTCAATGAGCTTTCCTGAAAGAATAAGAACCGATGGATGCGTGCATGCCATTGGGTAATGGGAGAAAACAAATATGCATGGAAATGTGTCAAGAATGAAAACGAGTACCTTTCTGGACTAATGATTGAACATGATTTATGCATCCTATCATTACGTCAAATTAGCTGAAATCTGAAATTGTGCACAGCACAGATCGAATCCAGGCTAGTTGAAAGGAGCAGTGGTGTGAATTGAGACAACAATAAGGTAAATGCACTGCTCCACCTGTTCAGCCGAAACCTCGATCGCGTTATCCTATAGGTAGGAGTGCATACATTGAAAAATGAATAATACGAAGCGCATCTTATTTTTCCAAAGATAATAATTCATGTGTCTTGAGCGGAACATCCGCGTTAGCTAGAAGAAGGTCACGCATATTTGTTTACCTGTGTTTGACACATGATCGAAATAATCAGCGAAATTTAAGAAATTTGGTATTTTGAACAATGACGAAAATGCGTGCTACAAAGGGTAATTTTCTAAAAGAATTTTCTGAAAATCAAGAAACCACGACCATTCGTCTCATAATAAATAATATTATTAATAATCACTTGGAACAGGAAACAACACTTTTTTTTTGTGATCAGTCAGATTCAAAGATTTTTTCATTCGGTTTTATTTTATTATTATTATATTACAACAGTGATCAAAAAGCGTTCGCGCACACTTCTTGATCGAAACCAATACTTTTCGGGGGATGTGCGAGTGCTTAATTTATTTTTCATATTTTTTAAAGTTTTCTTTTTCCTTTTTTTTTTTTTTTTTTTTTAAAAAAAACGAGAAATCGTATAATTGGTTTACTTGCGCTTGTCATCCTTAATAGTCCATCTTATTAATTATTATATGAATGTTTTCGCAGTGACAATGTTCATGAATTAAGAATTAAGAGAGGAAGTAATTGAAAAAAAGGTGTGAAGGTTGACGAAAGAAAAGAAAATAAATATGTGCAAAAGAAAGGGAAATAAGAAGAGGGTTGCTTTATTATTGACTACCGAAAGAAGAAAAGTGCCTAATATTTTATTACATCGCGTTTTTCGTGTGGAATTTTGATGTGATTGTTTTTTTTTTTTTGTGTGGAAATCAGGAGAAGAAAAAAGAAATGTTTGAAACTATTATGTACAAAAGTTTTGGGGGTTTTGCAGTTCCTTGTTTTTCCAAAAAGTTTTCTTTTTTTTTTTTTTAGCAAATGTTCAATTCTGTCACTAAATCCAAACCAGATAATTAAACCTAACCCACCCTCGCATTCCCTCGATGGTCGCAAGTAAACCATTGAAAAACAAAACAAAAATAAACTAAACTAAAGAAATGTTCATTTGAATTGGCAATATCGGGATTGTTTAATCGACTTTTCCTTGCAACTTTCGTGTTGCTCGTTACTACGGTACACATCGAGGTGTCATGAAGAAGAATTCCTCCTCCTCCTCTTCATCGGTCTCCAGTGGGTCCCAATCGTCAGCGCTGTTGCTACCGCTTGAGGAATCGGTGATGCTACTTCCGTCATTAAAATCTGCGAATCTAACAAACTTGGTGGTTGAAGACGAACGTCGCGAACGAGGTTGATTGCTGACGGCCTTCTTCGCGTACATCATTTCTTCGCTGGTGAAGTTTGGGTAGCGACCGTTATCTTCTGAGGAGGTTGAGGAGCAAGAAGAGGAAAGTGAACTAGAACGCTTGGAAGGATTGTAATAGCCGTTGACGTTCACCGGTTCGGTGACCCGGAGGTAGGTATCAAATGCTGGGGGTTTTCGCAGGTGCTTTTGAATGCTGCGACTTTTTTTACTTTGTTTCTGTGGTGTTGATGGTAGATAGAAAGAACCCGTGGTCGTTACAGGAGAAGAAGTCAGAGTAATCGATGTGGTGGTCGTTGCCTGTGATTTTGTGGTGGTTGTAACATTAGGGTAAGATGTGTTTAAGATAAGTCTTGGGATAGAATCCTTGCGAGAGGTTGTATATGTCGTCGTCGTCGTTGCGGACTTCATTGTTGTATTTTTTTTCTGGCGAGAAGAGAGAAAAAAAAAAATAGTTTTCCTGAATAAAAAAAAAATAAAAAAAAGGTTTTCCAAACTCTAGCGCTTTAGCGACGTGGTGAGGTAAAGTTTTGATTTTTTCAAAGAGATATTTTTCTTTGGTGTTTTTTTTTTTTTGGAATGTTTGACGTTTGGAAATTTTTTGCGGAGAAGAGCAAAGGAAGAGTGTGCCTTTTTATTTTGATATTTCATATACAATAACTAACTGAAAATGTAGCGTATCAACTACCCTACAATAGACATATAAATAAACTGACAATTTATACAAATGTCGTTAATCTATAATCAATAGAGTTGTAGATGAAAACCTGTTAATATGTGTGTATATGTGTAATCCTTGTAATATTATATCAGAATAGAAAAAAAAGAAAAAAAGAAAAAATTTTTTTTTTTTTTTTTTTTAATGTAGGATGTGCACATTTATTACGGTAAAAAAAAAAAAAAAGAGTAGCGCCATGTAACAGCGTATAAATGTTCTCTTTTGAAATGCATAAATTATTAAAGTGTATTGTTATTATTATTATATTTGTTTTTTTTCAAAGATAACATTATGATAGACTATTTACTATACGACAGGTTTTTAATATGACGGAAACCTTGGTACATATTAAAGAAGCAATATAAATAATATCAAATAGACTGGATTGAAAAAAAAAAAAGGCATCTCCTTTTTTTTTCATTTACTATTAACTACGAATCTGCATCACTAATAAGGCACAAATACTTATTTACCTGATGAACAAGAGGTTCACATTGACCGCTTTTCACAGTCACACCCTCATTCATTATCGAAAGCGTATCTCACTTAATTGGAAGAATGGAATGACAATGTATAAGGGACAAAAAATAAAACATAATAAAATAAAAATAAAATAAAATAGAATAAAATAAAATAGAATGGAATGGATAAATGGAAAAATGGATGGATGGATGGATGGATAACCAAGTAAATGGTAAATAATAGCAAATATAAAATATATGTTTCATTCTTGTTGCCATTTCGTTCATCGATAAGCAGTTTCCGGTCGCCACAAGAAGCATCCCACTCTGAAATAGACGCAAACTTTAGAGAGAGAGACACGTCGTTCGCCCTTTCATTCATTCATTCGTTCGTTCGTTCACATCTCTTTCATCTGATGTCACTCACGAAACACCATAAGAAATAAAAGGGATTGAGTCACGGGTGCAATAACATACATGTGTCTTTTGAGTTATTGACAAAAAAAGATGTAGCAGTGTTGTGGTGATGTAAGGTGTCATAAGTGATAACTTTAGATAAAGGACTCGTGATAAACGGTACAGCGTGCACAACAGATTTTTCGTGATGTGACGCTGATTTCACCAAATGAACGGTGATACACCTGACAATATCCCATTGTAGCAAACCATCATTACACAACTGTATCCGCTACATCGTCTCCTCTCATTATCTTTCAACAAATGAGTCATTCGGAATACGCCAATTTCAACGTCCGGTTTCAAAAAAAAATACGTCAGCCTGCATCCTGATATTCTTCGTACTCGGCGAACGTATCAACTCGCAACAAAAAATAGAATGATGCGTCGTGATAATGGAAAGAATGAGAACGCAGTTTTCTCAAATCAATTGGAATCTTTATTTCAATCATGCAATTTCAATCATTAGCTCAAACACAATTAACCTGCGCCATGAAAAACCCTTTCAAAAAGCAGGTTTATGACGTAAGGAAGTTGAATCCACCTTGAATGTGCACAAATCAGGCTTATCGGACGTCGAACACGAAGAATGAATGAGAATTCGTTGTTGTGCCAAACAAACAATCCAAAGGGAAGCCCGTTGAAGAGAGATGCCAGAGATAATGCTTTGACAAAGAGACAATGAAACCCGCATTTCTTCCAAAAAAATTTTTTTACGCCCAATGCCTCGAAATGCTTTCAACTGGTGCATCATCAAGGCACGAATCGAAAGATGTCCGATTTTCGCAAGAGAGCCGCTAAACCTCTTTGGTCAAAAAATTTTGGCATGGTAAAAGATGGACCGATAAAGATCGTCGAAAGAGGAAATCTAACAAAGCCCTCCGAGAATGTAGCAGACATTTCGTTTGCCATTCTATGATGATCGACACGAATGTGGCTGGTAATGCCCGATGGTGATAATTTCGGAATGGATCACGACGGGATGAAACGCATCAGGCGAATGAAATGTCGTGATTCGCCGGAAGATGCGGTCAAGCCACACAATCATTGTCGACTGACGGTGTGGTGGTACGCACGTTACTCGATTGGTCGACGACGCTACCACGTGCCACCGATTTGCCGACCGCACACATTATTTACGTTTTGTTACCCTCTTTTCTGCATGCACATTATTCTATCGTATTTACATGGAAAAAAGGATAAGAAAGAAACGGAGAACAATTCTCCTATTATCATCTCGTACATTAAGACCTAACAATTAACGCGATCCTTAATCTAGGGATTTTTTTTTTTAATTTGGTCCAATGAAAAAAATTTTTTCATCGGTAACCTAGACTCATATGACCATCGAACCAGCCAGCCAATCCTTTTCTAGCCTCATAACAAATGACCGCCAGTTTGTCGGATACAATACGGTCGTTCATATTGTTCCTTTGGAAGAGGAATGAAATAATTTTCATTTTATTCCTATTATCAATTTAGATACAAGGAGGGAAAGAGGAAAAGCCCTTTTGAAAATATGCGAATGAATAATGCATTCAGGATAAATTTCGTATGCCAACATCTTTTGCCGATTCCGATGCCGAAAGACGTCGAGAAAAAAAAAAAGGAAATAGATAATAGCAATGATTACATTTTTGTTAAACTAATAATAATAATAATAATAATGATGATGATGATGATAATAGTAATAGTAATAATAATATGCAAACGCATTCATCGCAGAAACAGCGCATGGAAGGTAAAACTGTGGCTGAGAAACTTTTGCGGAGATGTAGGAGAATCGAACCACGGAATAAGAAAAATAGAAAGAAAAAAGAAAAAAGGTGTGCGTATGTACGTGCGTTACATTACATCCACATGCGAACATCATCCCATTGGATATTGCCGTTTTACTGTATATGTATGTATGTATGTATGTATGCTAACGTTGATTAAATGCTCTGCGAGGATTGCTTCAATTGGATTGTATCGATGCATTCGGTTTTCGACAGAAATCCATCCATCCTTTCATTAACAAAAACGGGTTGGGCAGTCGAAGCAGCACGATACGCCTCCTGATTTTAATTTTAATTTTTATTATACCATCATACTCTATTTTAACTTTTAATTTCATTTTACTTTATTTGTCTGACGAAGGGACAATTCACCCTCTCCTTACCAAAACATTTTAGCCCAAAGGCACAAGGTTCCAACGTTTCCTTCTTTCAATTTACTGCCTCCAATAAAAATCAAGCAGCTGAGGTACGATTACGCAAGTCAAATATTATTTTGCCAGTTCGGTTTGTTTTTCTTTCCCCGCATTTTTGCTCTTTATCCTCATTACCAATAGCTAACCTTAAAACGATTGCATCATTATGTCATGAGAAACAACCTTAATTTTCGTCGACCATTAGGAAGCGTTTACACAAAATCTTTCATCCGTCGATTGATAAGACCATGTCGTGTATTATTGAGTTAAAAAAGGTCTGGTTACACCAGAGCGAGCGGGAAGGCGGGAAGAGGTGGTCTTTTTATTTTCTTACCTAAATCGTCCAAACCTTCCATCCCCAAATCTACCTCTGACCTCAAAAATCAAGCTTGGCACCTTCTCTCTCGCCTCTTTTGGTCTTGCATACGTAATAACCTTCATTTTCCACCTTCAAATCGTTCTCATTTCAATGAACTTTTTAGTGAAGATTTTCTTGTTGGTCTATTGTTCTCAATAGAGAAAGAAAAAAGTAAACAATTCTCGCATTCTTTATTACGCTCATTACGTTTTGCATTTGCATACATTATATGCATACATGCAGCACATACCTGTTACTATAGTAAACCATCGACCGAGACGATCCTCCGATTACTGGTCTCACGACTCCTTCGAACCGCCTTAGCTGCCTGCTTGCCACAATGTCATGAGGTTTACTCTTTATCGGTCAACTAATTATCGGGTCAAAGAGTAAACCTTTCAGGTTCACAAGCACTATTCCGGCAACTGGAAATTACAGGAAATTGTATTGTGGCGTGAACACAAAAAAAAAGAATCGACCACAAAGTTTGTTACCCATATACTTTAAGAGTGTGCGGATCAGAGGCAAATTTACACAAATTTGGAATTTTCATGAACGTGGAGAACCATATGACCTATTAGCGAAACATTTTTTTTTTTGTTGTTCCCTCTCACTAGACAAGATGAGAATGTATGAAATTTGATTTGCTTACATAATGAACATCTTGTCTATCACGTCACACGGTCAAAAATTAATCATGTAAGCAGCAGAACTCTTTGTCGACCATCACTGTTTAGGAAAAATTTGGTCTCTAATATTTACTTGCAATTACACAGTGATCAATTTTACACAAACACACAATTTCCAAATGACCAAGCGACGTTATCTATCGCGTGTATTACAATTCGTGAAAGTGAATAGGGAGGAGATGTCGAGGGATGTCGTGGGATGAGACCTTTGACGATTACGAAAATTTAAAGTCATTAGAAAATCTTGGGAGCGAGCGAAAGTGTTGGTGTCTTTGGACGGAACAAAGACATTTCTTTCCTCGAGGCCACCGTGAATTAGCTTGGATGGCCGTGGGTGGCCGCGCTAGATGAGGATGACACGGAGGATTCAGGAACTTGAATCGGACAATAACGGAATGGTCAAAATATTATTCAAGGCTTGTTGACTGCTTCTCGTGAGCAATTCTGGTGTATAAACGTGTTAAAGATAAATGCTTGATCTTTTGGAAGGACGGATAATAATTCCTTTTTCAAATTATTTTGACCCCCTTTGATTTGTATTCACAACTTTCATGCAATGTCACAAGAGAAACAATGACGCCATACAGTCACCACAACATTTCCAGTATCATCTTTCATTTTAGGATCATGCTCCAATGGTGGTGTACAATGCAACTTATGTTCTAGTAACATATCTTACAATAAGGTAAAAAAGAAATCACGATATACACTCCGCAATCATTACCCTTTTGAACCCTTCAAGGTCAAAAATGAATTCTTCCCATATTCGGCAATAAACTTGAACCAATCGTCGTCGACCTCCTCATTTGATATTCTCTTGCTTGTCCCTTTCAATTCCTCTTTTCGTAAGCACCCAACTTGTCGAGAGCTGGTCTTTCTTGACAATCATAGATTCTTCGTGATCAAGCGTTAAGAATTGAAATGGCATGTGTGCGTGCGTGCGTGTGTGATTGATGGTTGATTCTCTAATACTTTGGTGACGAGAACAATATAACGAGGACAACAAAGACCACGACAACCACAACCACTACGACAACGACAACCACAATCACTACCACTACGACAACCACAACCACTATCACTACGACAACCACAACCACTATCACTACGACAACGACAAAACAAATAACGATAACGATAACAATAGGGACAACGACGACAGCAGCAACAACAATAACGGGCGCGTTAAAATTGTCAATTCAATAACTTCGTGATAAACCAGAAATGGAACGCGTGAACTCATCAATTCACTGTAAAACGGGTGAGATTCGGGTGATTATTGATTAAATCAAATCGTCCGTTAACACAATCAATTGTTTTGTTCATAGCCACGCACAAACAACTAAAAGTTGCCAGCCTTGTCGGTGAAGTAGATCTGATTCTTACCGATTTTGCAATCTCATTACGTAAGAGTCCTGACCATAAAGGAGAAGAGAAAGAGGGAAAGAAAGAAAGCAGGCAAAATTGATAAACAAAATGTGTCTTGCTATTCTTCGCATGACGTATCTTCGAGGGCAAGTTTAAGGCTTAACCAAAGATCTCAATTCTCACGACCATGCGCAACGGAGAGCAAAAAGAACATAGCCACCAACTTCAATGCTACGTGATGAATGGGCTTGTCCAAAAGTTTCTCTTTGAGATCTTGGGTAAACTAATCTGAATCGTATGATCGGTAAACCTCCCTCCATCTCAAAATACGCTAGACTCACCGGTTTCCTCTCTTAAGGATTACTAACGCCTGAAGGGATCACATGATTCGCTGGAAATTCAATTGTGGCCTAATATGTAAATTAATGTGCACCATGTAATCAACTGTTTTTTAATAAAAATCGAGTGTGCGCGCTCTTGAAAAAAAAAAAGATGTCATAACGCAAGGTAAAGTAACGTAACAAGAATGCTCTTGGGAAGTCGAAATGGAAGATTTGGTAAGGACCTGCAGTGAATGAGTTTGAATCATGATATTGTTCACGATCTTTACTAATATTGTGGCAGATTATCGATAATGTGTAATGATGATCTGACATTTTTGAAACAGTACGGACATAGAATACACTTTTATATAATCCTTGTTATGAAAAGTTCTTTTCGCAAACCAATTGATCGAGAAAAGATCAACTCTTTGTTAATGTTACGTAAACTAATTAAATTCCC